CTATATGCCACGAATTTATTACAATGTAAGAGAGATAGATACTACTTTTTCCATCGAGGCATTATTATTCGTGCTGCGAAATCGGTTGATAATCTCCAGAGAATTGTCATTCAAAACGGACAACCTCTATTAATCAAGCATTGTCCGAAATGTCGAGAGAGAGAGTGAAAGACACAACGAATCATACAATCACAATGTGAACGAACGAGTCGCTTTTCGTGCAAGATATGATAAGAACATATTGTGAATGTATGCACGGGCGACACCATGATACACATTTTCTGCACATCAACTTTGAAAGTCACAATGTAAAAAATCAAATTTTCTCTCACACATTTCATGCGATTTTTATCATTTGTTCCATATCTCTGGCGAAACGAAAAACAAACAAAAAAGACGGAAAAAGAATCATTGGAACTTTGCCAATCAACGCAAATTTACCAAATCGAAATTGGTTTCACCATTTTGGTGCTTGTGTGCATTTCATCTTTTCTTTTCATTTTTTTCTCAGAGCCCAGCCGAATTCATTCTAATTGCGCTTCAGCGTATGTGTATCAAAGCCATTTTCAATTTGAACGATGCATTACATGCGACTTAAGTATATTTGTATGTAATGAATGTTTGTGTAGTGGCAGCAGCGTGTGTTAAACACGCTGTATACACTTAAGAAATGATAAAATACCATCTTATTCAGTGAGAAAATAAGTGGCATTATGTGTTACTATTTACAAATATCCATCAAAATGAAAACAATCTTTTGGGGATAGAAGCTGCCAATGAACAACGACACAAACATGAACGCATTTATGTGTATTTGATGTGTATGGATGTGAAAAGCGATTTTCTATCTCGGTGTGTGCATTTTTTTTTCGTACCCTTCAAAATGTATGTGTATTAATGCGTTTGCCTCTTGATTTTGATGAATTGCTTGACATTAATCTATAGCGCGTACTGTGTACGCTGCACAATCAAACCAGAGTGGAAAAAAGCGACCGTCTTATGTAATGAGAACGTGCGTTTGCAACAATTCAGTTGTGATGCGATTGAACATTACACTCTCCGATCTCACTCTGACTCATTCTCTCAGGCGCATATTATTAGCTTGATCCCTGAACATGTGTGCGCGTGCATATTTCTACCCACCGACAACTCCAATTCAAATTGCATCTAATTCACATCGTGAACTCAAACAAACCGGCACAAATGGTAGCGCATACAGAAATCAGTCGCTTTGAATAACACAGAAAAATAACAACATTCCCTTATGAGTGAGCCGAGATGGCTTCCTGTGAAAAATCGTTATCATACACGATTCTCAATTTGAAAATGATCTGCCGTTTTTAACAGTCACTTAAAAAATTGTGTTTGTGCATCAACACAAACATTTGTTAAATTTCCCGGTTTGCCTGTGTGTGACAATCGGAAGTTGATTGAAAACAAACACAAACTCTCACACGGATGAAATTCTGCTCGAAATATGAAATGGCAAAGTCGAAAATGTGATTTAAACCACAAAAAATAGGCCGGTTTTCATTTGAAATAACAAGAAAAACCAGCTTTTTAGACAGCTTAAGATAGACATTTGCATTTTTGCGAACGATTATAGCGCACACCACCTATTTTATTCACAATCTTTTCAATCGAATGTTTTGACATTGTTTGTTGTATAACTTGAAAATATTCTCGGTACAGAAGAGTTTCAATTTATCCATTTTACCAAAATTCCAATTTAATCATCCCCATTCATACGTATTTACAAGTTAAATATATATAAACACACATCTACCGCAAGAAAATCTCCATCTTGCTTTTCACTGTTTATTCCATGTTCGAATAGTTGACATTCTACGATGATTTATTACACCACATTCCAATGTAATTGTCATCATAAGTGAATTGGAAAGGAAATACAGTCATGACAATAATAGTAATAATAATATTCATGCAAAATGGAATTCCGAAAACGGTTGCTTATGAATTAATTTAAATATCATTTGATTTCTTTAAGGATTTGTTTATGAATAAATTTCAACATCATAAGAGATGATTTTAATAGGAGGTACCATACAAAATCTGCCATGCGAATCCGGAACCATGATGTGATTTTTATAGAGAGTGAGATAGTAAAATTTCTCATCGTTTTGATGGTGAAAAAAAAAATCAATCGATTCACGATCCCGTTCACCAGAAAATATGTGCTTTGGTGTGATGTTTTTGATATTTCAACGGTCGTTTTCATTGCATAAGCACGAATTGTTTAAACGAGCGAGTGAAAAAAACAACAGGCATTTTGATCACTGTTAAGCCGTTTCAAATACGGTTATACGGTCAAAATGTTTAATTGTCTAAAAATACCAGCATTGTTTGCCGTTTTCCAACACGTTGCGTTTTTGACACAGTAACTCGCTCTCACGTAAATGCCAACAGATGAGAAATTGTACTGTCTCAAAACAAAAACTAGCGAAAGCACGAAAAAAAAACTTCGAAAGAGAATGAACAGAGTGTATGTGTGAGAGAGAGAGAGTGAATAAGTGCACGCAAATGAAAAACCCTGGCAAGAAAAGTGAAAAATTAGTTGCAATTATTCAATGTCAGTCATTTTGATGCCTTTTTCTCCAGAATTCTGCTTTGATTGACAAAATAACAATACCTGTCAATGTTCGTGTTTGCGATATAACCTTTTTTTTCTACGTCTTCGTCTCCGGCATACACTCTCCATCTCGCTTGCACACATCCGACATTACGTGTTTTTTGTTCTCATTCGGCTAATCATTCAGCGCTCATACACACAAAATTTACATGGTGTTCTTTAGTTTTCGTTTTCTATGGATGATTTTTTGTTTCTCTCGAAGCTGCATACAACACTTTTGAATGGTTGCCGCACAATAGCAAAAGGTAAAATTGGATCGCTGAGCATGAAAGACCAATGCTTTACACTCTTGGAAATGTACGATGAACAAAGACTCTTTATTTGTTTTATTTAAAATACATTTCGGCTGTAGCTATTGTGTATCTGTGTCCGATTCGAAATTCTGAACTTTGTTCGTCGTTCTTCCTTTTCTTCAATCTTCAGATCGAAAATCATAGATAAAACAATGAAATCATTCTTTTGAAAATGCATGCAACGAAATATGATTCAGGAAGGAATGGCAAGATAGACGACATTTTTTTGAATCGAAATTTTAAGCTATTAGTGCTGACAACACAAATATGACTAATGATGCGGATGATGTGAACACATAATCTCGATTTCATGGTGTATTCTCGAAAATAGTTGGCGATCCAACAGCCAATTATTTCCAACTACGTTGTAATTAACATTATCAAATAATCGATTTTGGTTTTTATACAGTTTCATTCGCTTGAACGTTATTGAAACGCAATTCTTATTACTCCACGTAGAAAGAATTTTATTGAAAAAAAAAAAAAACTTGGTACAGTATAAAAACACAGAATTTCAAATAATGTTTTATTTATTAAATTGGTACATTCCTATTTAAAAAAAAAAAAACTTTTTTTTTCGATCGAATGAACTGAATGAACGACGTCATAACACATTTCAACGAATTGGAAAGAGCGGAAACAAATAACTTTATTCTCATTCAAATTCATTACCTGATTATATACAATAAATATCGATTTGGAATGATTTACTCCATTTTTTAAGCATATAAACATCGTTGCAAGAAAGCACATATTTTGCATGGCCATGTCAATTTTTGTGTGTTTATTTGTTTATTTATGGTGTTAATATCAATTTTATCAGCCAATATTAATCGCATGTTTACATAAAATATGCCGAAAACGAATAAAAGATAATGGCTTCATCTAATCGTCATCCATCTATTTTACTGGTTTAATTTGATTCTTCCGTGGTGCGCTTTGTTTTTTGTTTGTTTATTCATTCTCTCTCTCTTCATAAAAAGTGTCACCTGAAAACATGAATTTATGTCTCATTCACCATTGATTCACTGAGAATGATGGTTGTCTTGTGAACCACATTACTTTATATAAAAACAGCTTTCGCTTGCACTAGCACCTCAACATCGTATATACAATGCAATGTTGGCATAGTTCACTCGGCAACTGTCCGACGCAGCACTGTGCCAGATTTGCGATGTCACAATGTTAAAGTATAGAGCGCATTAGATGAATGGAAAAATTGAAGTGTGATATTGCAAGAAATTTGGGCAAATCATCAAAAACATCAAACCAACAACAACGCAACAGCTGCTCAAATAAATAAAATTTAATAAAAAACAAGAATATTCGCGAAATTATTCATAAATAAGATATGGTTTGAGAATTATTTCGAATTATTACGTCAATTCCCAACAAGATATAACCTAGCTAAATTTTCAGTATAGATGTTGTATTCAGTACACGTGTGGTAGTTGTTTTTAACAAAATTGACGATCTGTTTTCAAGTACCTAAATGTTTTGAATTGACAATTGTTTCATAATTTTATAACAAAATTGAATTTATAATCGAATCCAACATTCCAAAAAACCTATATAAACCGAGGGTGATCAATCGATTATTTATCAGTAAGGGAAGTGTACCTATTTCGGACACCCCTTTTTATTTTTGGCATAAAATATAGAAAAATAAACTTTGATGAAGATAGTATATACCGTTCGATAGCCAACTTTTATACACAACTTTCTATTATAGAAGTTCATCCGGGGAAAAAAAATTATCAAAAAAAAATCAAATTTTCGAAAAAATGTAAAATCTGAGATTTTCAAAAAGTGTACCTAATTAGGACACCCCCCCTCAAATTTTCCATGTTGCTCCAAATAAGCTCAAAAATGACGTAGAATCATAATTTCGTTTTTGATCTTTCATATTTTATTGGAATTAGGAATTTCAAGTGGTCACATTTGTATGAAAAATGGGAGTAGAAAATGTATGTTTCAAAATTTTAATAGAAAAATGGAAAAACAGTGGAAAAATAGTGTTAAACTAAACCTCTTCATCTTCTTCTTCATCATTCGATTCACAATTCACACAAATGAAAATACCATATTGCAATTTGGCACGATGAGTCATTGAACACGATGAGTCGTTGATCTTCAATTTCCATATTTTGATCATTTGGCTCCCCAGCCAAAAAATCAGCTACTACAAAATCGGAATCAGTGAAGCTGTCTCTGTTGAATGGCCGAATTCCTGACAATAAAAACGAACAACAATGGAGACGAGTTTAAGAAGAATCGTTTTTGTAAAAAATACCTGTTGCTTTGAATCCAGATTTTATATTGGTGGGAGTGAAAGCAAGATCAATGCATTGTCCAAGGACTTCCGGAATATGGTGAATTTCAAATACTCGGCCAGAGTTATTTTTGGTCCAGATGCCACAAGCATTTGAATAATATGCCTTAAATGGTCCAAATACGGAGACGTCCAAAGGCTGGAGCTTATGGCTGCAATGTGGTGGGATAGAAACCATCGTAATGCCATTATTTTTGGCCAAATCAATGGCTTCAACCGAAAGATGCGAGCAATGATTATCGAGTATAAGCAACTGTGGCCGCTCCAAAGATGCGCACGAAAATTTGATGAAGTGTTGCATAAATTGAACGAATTCCCCTTGATGAATCCATCCAGAACCATTTGCAACACCAAAACTGCCTTCTGGAGCACGTTCAAGAAAAATGGCGCGCATATTTTTACGTGGAAAAATCCAAAAGGGCGGACAATAAGTTCCAGATGCACTGACACAAGCCACCATGGTGATCAAAGTGCCACGTTCTTGAGAAGACATCATTCCAACGTATCTAGCTCCTTTCCGTGCAACGATTTTGCCGATTCGGTTGGGTACCGTAGAAAATCCCGTTTCATCCATATTCCATATGGCTTGAGCTCCGTATTCGTGGCCACCTCCACTTGAGTTGGTAACTCGGTCCAAATTTGAGTAAAAAAGATCAACATTTTCGCGTGTAAATCCACGCATACGGTTCAAACTGACTTGTTGTGGCTTTCGAATGGACATATTTGGATGACGCTTCATAAATCCATCGAACCATCTTCTTCCGGCCATTTGTTTTTCATTCCACTTCGGTGGGAACCCGACACCAATCTTTGCCGCGAATTCAAAAGCCAACTTTTTAATATCAGTCATGCTGAGGCCATAATATAAGTCAGCGCACTTCAAGATGTATTCCATTAAACATTTTTCTTCGCGTTGAGTGAAAATCTGAAAATTCAATAAATGAATTGTAATTTGGTGGCAAAGATTGGATAGTGTCATTGATGGATACATACAGGTGTTGGGCCAACTGTTGAACTATGCCCCAAACATTGCAACAAATCCTCATCTGTGGCCACCGATATGTCAGGAATAACACGTTCAATGTTATCCAGATAACGCAATAGATTGGTACGAGGTATCTTGAGTGCCAATGAAACAGACTTTTTGGATTCTTTCCCAATTTTGACACGTTTCACGGCTTCCAATAAAATAGATGGCTCAATGGATTTTCGTTTTGGACTCATCTTGAACTAAAGATTACCATGAATTTACGTTAGTTACGAATAAATATGACATTCGATCGAAAAAAAACTTCTATCGATTTCCACTATACGAAATATGGGGTGTCCGAATTAGGTACATACCGCCATTTTGAAAAGAAAATCATAGAGATGACACTAATGACCGTACACACTTCTTACATCCAGAAATCGATAGATAATCGGAAAACAAATACCATGAATATATTTACCGTAATTTGAATCACTTCTATAGTAACTTTTTGATTTTTGGCAAAAAACTCGAAAAAACTTCGGGAATGTGTGAAAAAAACTTTTTTTAGTAGAGCGACAAAAAATGCGTATTAACACGTCTGTATCACTGTAAAAATATGCTAGACAAAAAAACTATCGAATGACAGTAGTTTGAGCTCAAATAACGATGACACCTAAGAAATGTCATGGGTGTCCGAATTAGGAGCAGTGTCCGAAATAGGTACACTTCCCTTATACTGCAAATTGCTATTATAAGCAGATATTTAAAAAAAAATGTTAAATCGAAAGGTCTTTGTACTTCTTTTTATTGGAGTTTTGGTATCCGAGGTGAATTTTTAAAACTTTAAAATTCCAAATGAATTTTTCGATTTCATTTTTTTATTCCCAATCTTTTTTTATCATAGCTTCTAGTTTCAAACGTAGAAGCCGGAAAGGGCGATGGTTCTTCCAAGGATGGTAAAAAAGGAAGCCAAAATTTGGTAAGTTTAATTAAGTGTAGATTACGCAATTGGAACATTTTGCAAAACATCTTATGCCAATAAATAACGAATATAGGGAAATGCTGCTAATTTACCAAGTCTTGATCAAGTCAGAACTACTTTACAACAATATGCAACTCGCATCAGAGATGGATTGAGAGGACCCAATTCCAACGAAGAGGTTGACGAATTCCATGCTTGGCGATTCCCGCAATATATTTTGGAACTTGAAGAGTCATCAAATAAACTCTGATCACACTGGTCAAATGGTCATAGACCCGTATGACTTTTACAATAGAGGTGTAGAACCACAGAATTTGCAAGATTATAATAATTATGTAAATAATCAATACCGCGCATGGCTTGAGTGAAAAAAGAACTGTCAACATTTTTAATTTTTTGTTTGCGATAATCCCAATGATACCGATAGTACACCAGAAAAATATTCACTTCGTGTTGTTTACGTTGTTTCTTTTGACAGATATCAATGTTTGACAAATATATAAACGAATACCCAAGTGTGTAAAGTTTCCCTTTGGTTTGCATTGGGACTCAGAGATGGCGCTCGCAAAATCCGATCGCCATGAATAAGTGAGACTTGCTTAAAAACAACATGACTCAATTTTTTTTGAAGATACCTTATTTCTTGTAAATAAAATATGTTTTTGAAATACCTTGGTTTTACTCAGAACTCAGTATTGTTACGCATTGAAAACAATTTCAAAACAGAACGATGATGAAAGTGTGACGCAAAGATCCTCATCATACATTCAAATGAAGCCAGACGAACATTTTTTCAAATATACAGTAGAATACACTTTTATTAGATAAACTATGCAAAAGAAGAAGAATTTCGTTTCAGAGCCCGCGCAGCTTTAATAAGTATTCAAAAAAACGCATGGTTAAAGATCGTAGAGACCTTAAATTAAAAGTTGTGATAATCCTGTAAGTACTTTTGTTACACACTCTTAAGTGTGTATACGAGCCCATTACATCTATGACAGTGAGAGAGCTGGTCAGCATCCCTAAACAACCAGCGTATTCTTCAAAAGTATTGTTGTTCATAAGGCGCCCTAGAAGCATTGATAGCAGCTCTTACGTGATCTTGAACTTGGCTTTCCTATCATTATAATCGTCATTTCTCAGCGTTAGATCTTTCATACTATATACTTAATTACATTCACCGCCCCTCTACGCTTAAAATTAAGAGCTATCATAAAAATATTTTCAATTGTATAATGATTTCGGTCTAATTACATTCTTTTATTTCGATTTCAAATTCTATCTGTTTTAGTTTTTTATATGCCAATTAATTATTTACGTACGAAAAAGGGAATTTTGTTTTTGACTACCAATACAATACACACTTGCAAGTATTAAAAAAAACATTCATAATTTTGTAAATGGAAATTACACCATTCGAAATAAACAATTTTTGGCAATAATTTCATTTAGAATTATTTTAAAATGCTAGATTTTGAATCGGAAACTGAAGACATTTTGTAGCTCATCAATTTCTGAAATGGGAGAAATTCTTCCGATTTGCTAGGTTTTTTTTAGCCAAATTCTTTCCTTCAGATTCCCTTGGAATCAAAAACCCCTTGGAATCAAAAACCCCTTAATTTTACACTGGAAACAAGAGGATTTTTTGTTTATACCTCTCGATTTTTTTTTCAATCAGA